CCAATGCTGTTAAAGTCTTCTGCACATCAAAAAGAAAATGTTCCTTACTCTTTTCTCTTCTAGGAAACAATTGTGTACAGCATATGGCAGGATAAACATATACTGCATGCACCTGCCACACATTTTCATAACAAACTGTTCATCATAACCTCAGAAAGATTATTTTTTTTTCTATTGAAGTCATAATGTTGACAATTCAAAAACTCTCTTAGCATTGAAGGAAGAGGTGTAGGAAAGAATGATCTAACATGCAATCGTAAGGTAGTATAAGGTCATTGCAGAGGAGTTAACTGAATTTGTTGGATTGCTGTTCCCTAAAGAGGAGTTTATGCAGGTTCTCACACCAGAATCCTTCTATATGGAGAAAGAGACAGAAGGTGAACCAGAGGATCTGTATCAGACTTGAGAAACATTAGATGAAACTGAAAATATCAACAGTATCAAATTGCCGGGACCAGACAGTATCCTTCAAGAATCCAGAAGAACTAGATCATGAAACTTCTGATTTACTGTGTAGTACACAACCTTTCCCAAAATGGCCTCATTACCACAGTAACAAAAAACAGTGCGTAGGTGTTAATATTTTCAAAAGCTTCCAGTAAATCTTGAAAAACTGCAGACTAAAAACTGACTTCCATCGGGATGATTTTAAAAAACATATTCAATGTTAATGATAACATTAAATGATAATATTAATTCCTCCCAAATGTATTAGACTTTGAAGGTGTCAAAAATGTGTGGAAAAGGATTAAGTGTAGTTAAGCTTTCTACAAAGTTCTTAAGCTATTTAAAAATTAATAAATAAATAAAATTAAGCTATTATGAGATAAAGAAAAAAATGATAGAAGACAGAAAACAGATTTAAGAACACTAAATCATTTTTCAAATTCCCTGCAAGATGTGTCCATGGTCCTCTGCTGTATATCTTCTTCACAATAGGCCAAGAGAAGGCAATGCAAGATGGTATTAACTACTTAAGGTAGTTAAGATAGGAAAATAAAAGATAGAGATAGAAGATTCACTAATATTAAGTGATTGGAAGACAAAAGACAGGTAGCATTCATTGTGAACACATGCAAAATAATGAGGACATTGCTGGAGATTACAGCCAACTATACATGCACTGTAGTGTACTACATGACCTCTTAGCACATTGGAAAGATCTTGGAGCCATTGTGACTAGCTCTATCGGCTTTAGTTTAACCACAGTCAAAAAGTAAAAGAATGTTAGAAATTAATAGGAAGTGAAAAAAATACAACTACATCAATTTGCAGTATGCTGTAACTAACAACATTTTGGCTTGTTCCCTTTGAATTAAAAGGAAAACAGTAGAACCATAGCAGATAGACAAGGAAAACAAAATGGAATAGCTTTTCAGATATTAAGTTTTCAAGTAAGAGAAGTAGGACTCTTCAGCTGAAAAAGATGTGACCACTGAGAAAACTACTATCTCTCACATTAAAGAAAAACAAGGTGTCAAATAAAAGAACAGGTTTAAAGCAAAAAAAGTATTTTTTTCACACAGTGTACAATTAAATTTATAGAGCTCTGCAACTCAATGCCATGGATTCAAAGCATACAAATGGATTCAAATGTGTTCAGATTCAAAAAAAGAAGATTCCATCTAAGACTACTGGAAAGAAAAAGTACAACAGCAGATTTAGTAAGTGCCTAAGCTTTTGTTTGCTGGAAGCTGTAGGGTTTCATTGCAGAAGTTTCCCTGTTCACATGCTCCATTCTTATCCTCTTATCCTAGGAATCCATTACTGCTCCCTACCAGAGGCACAGTGCTTGGGAAGATGAACTTTTCATCCACCACATTCAGCCAGAGAACCATGAGAACTTTCTGTTCACTATCTACTGTGATTCTTACTGCAGCCAATAACTTTAGGTCTGTGAACTGTGATAGCCCAGTACCCCTTTTCAACCTTTTTTTTTTAAATAAAATAAAATAAAATAAAAAAATAGAACCAAGACCTTATATGCTGGAGACCATCCTCAAAAGCTTTTCTCCTCTGCACAGCTTAGATCAAAACATGGCATTAGCGCTATGGTTTCCTCAAAGGTTAGGCTGGACTTTGCACTGAAGGTATACAACCAATAGCTCCTACCCAAAGTGTAGTTCTTCATCTCTCCTATTCCTTAGCTATGCTCTTTTATCAGCACCAGTACTCATCTGATTCAGCCATATAGGGAGCCACTTTAATGACGCAGAATGGAAAAAAAAAATAAATTTAATTTTTAAAAAATAAAATCTGATTCTTTAAGTACTTGGATCAATCTCATCATCAACTCAGATACATGCCAGTGGCAGAGGCAGGACAGAGGCATTTCAGCCAGAGCTGCCTGTTAGGTTAGGTTAATTGTTACACTTTAACAGTGCAATGAGAGCATGCATCCCCCACATACCTCCTCCCAAACACCTTGACCACCTCCATTCAGATTCAGTAAGACATAAAACTTCCACAAGCAGAGCTAGCTCTATTTACAATAAAAGGTTTTACCAGCACAAGGGGTAGCTTACAATGACATGACTATGCCCATGGAAGATTTTTTTGCCAACGTATCTGACTAAGAAAGCACCCCAAAAGTATTTCAGCTGTACTTATCTAGCTGACTAAACATCAGGCAAACATTTAGAGGGATTGTTTCTCTATTCTGGAGCACGGGAACTCACCTTTGGTAAGACCCAATGTATCACACTGTGCAAGCATTTGTTTTCAGTGGTAGGGTCTATCTGCTGAAACTTTTTTTTAATTAAACATCCCCATTCATCTCCATCCTTTATTTTACAAAAAATAGCCAAGTACACTTTTAATTCTATCAGTACTTGAGTGTTCCAACTTTCTGTCATTCACAAAACTGATCCAGAGGTCACAGACCCTTGGAAAACCACATCTAAGAGTGCTTATTTCTTTATCTGGAAAAGAGGAACTTATCTGTCCTATTATTAATATGCATTTAGAAAAATAAAGTGACTATTAAGTGTCAAAACAAGCATTTGTTTTAATTATAGACAAAAAGCTAGCAGTAATAGTTATATAGCTCTATCTGTCAGAAGATATGAAATGACAGAATGGAGTTTGCATCTATAATTTTTTTCTTGTATATATGCATTATGATAATGACCAGATATCAGTTTTTCCAAAGGAATCTCTTTGCACAAAACAAATCATGCTTCCTTAATGAGCTATCATTTATTGCTCCTTTGCAGTTCAATCTGTGGCTCCACACCACATTTACAATTTTGTACTCAAATTTCGCTTGCATTAAACAATAAAACAGCCCTGATTCCTTTAGGACACCTAGTATAGAAAAGAAGGTGGATGATCACACAATCGCAAATTGTATCATACAAATGTATGTTCAAACAATCAGAAATCCCATCATTTCCTCCTTCAAGCAGCTGAGGGCTCCCGCTGTATCTTAAATCATCCTCTCGGTTCCCAATACTGATTCCCACCTGCTTTCTCCAGGTACAATCTCCCTTCCCACTCACTCCCAGGCTTAGTATTTTTAAATAGCCTCTTAGCAAATTTCCATGCTCTTGACCTCCTTCCATAAAATCCTGCTCACAATTTTTCTTTACCCAGAGAGTCACAGTCCTTCTCCTAACCACATCTATTCATCAAATGCTCTTTCACTCCGTATCACTGATTTCTCAACACCTTCTTGACCAGACTCCCAGCCTCACTCCATGCTCTTCTCATGGGTCCCTGTCCTTGAACATGTGTCCATCCCTTTGACTAGATCCTTTACACAGACACTTTGCATTCACAAATCCCAAACTCTTGCCCATCCCAATCCCTAATATTATGCCAAAATTGAATTCCACTCTCTTGAAAGCTGCTGTCCCATCCCCAATAACGGGACATTAAGAACATTTCCTCAACATTAAAATTGGGTAATCTCTTTTCCGTGCTACTTGTACTCTTGGTCAGGGGTCATTGGAAAGTACAGAAAAAACTACAACAAAAAAAACTTGTTCCAGATGTAGACCTAACACAAAGTGTAGGCCAAAGTGTGTGTAGTGCAGGAGGAATCTTTGAAGAATACAGTTGTCAAAAATCTAACTCCAATGAGTACATCCAAATTCTTCTTTCCAAGATATAAAACACCCATAAATGTAGAATTGCACTAGGAATGGAAAAAGGTGCATAACTAAAAATCAAAGCTACCTTTTTGTAGAATCTCGGGAAAAAGTTTTGCGGTGCTTCAACATGAGAAAACAATACAGTCTTCCCTATTCTCACTTTACTAAAAAGCTGGACAGCTTTTGCTGTTTTCCAGAAATAAATCAGAGTTATTTGGAATAAAAAACCTATAACATAACAAAGTGTGAAAAAGTCACAACAGAAAACAATGTTTAAGGATATGTGTGGACAATTGTAACTGAAAGATTTAAAGGAGTTTCAGATATTATCATCCCTTTGGAGACGAAATGTGATAACTAATTCTCTGATGGCTCTTAGTCTAATATAATGACTAGGGAAACTTAAGTTAAACTAACTTTACTGATGGTTTAAGCAAGCATGGTTTCTCCAGGACATACACATGCTCAGTTCAATCAGATCTCCAAGCTGAGACACATCACTGCAAGCTAGGAAAGATACCGACATCTTGAAACGTGTTAATATGATCCTCTGTCATAACCTTACAATGGAAAGTGGCAGAAAACCTGTGTAATATTTGGTACAAACAACCCGACCTATAGTAATGCTATTTCTCTGCTGCCTGGACAGTTAAACAAGTTAAACACAGTGTGGACACAGGAAAATGATTCGAGCTTTTCAGCTGAAACAAGAATATAGGAGAACAGTTGCCCATTCTTGTCAAACCTCTGGACTTCTTAAAAGCTCTAATGACCTGATTTGATCCACTTAGCAAGAAGAGATAGAGTTAGCCTTGGACTATGGCATAAAGCCAAAGTTCAGAAACACAGGAGATTTAAGTCTACTAACTGTAAACCAAGTATAGATGCTTCTTAAGGGAAAAACACAAACAGAAATTATGTATTACATTATTAATCTGTTAAACACAGGAACATATAGGACTCCAGTCCAGTAACATATGTCAACTTAAATAGAAGACTTTCTTGTTATAGGGGCCTCATGTTGCTCAGAAATTCCATTCAGCCTAGAAGTACAGGAGAGAATCCATGTTATTTTGAAACTTCATAGTTCAGTACTCCTCTTAGATGGTAACTTCTTAAGCCACAGTCAACTATTTTGAGTAACATAATTTTGGAAACTGGCCACTAACACTGCGGAATTGCCACTTAAATTCAGGAGAGCTATGAGAGATTAAACCCGTTAATATCAGTAGAACATGACACTGGATCCACAAGCAGGCATTTTTATCTCACAGTTCACCTCTGTACAAAAAAAAGATAAATATGTAACAAGTGCTTTAAATGAGAAAACAAGCAAGCTAAGATTGAAAGTATGCTGTTTTATAAAGTGACAGTAACTATTCTCAGAACATTTCTTTCTGCATGTTGCTATCAGTTTTTCCTTACCATATATTCCATATTGGAAGCTGGTGGATACACCTGACCCCGTAATTTATTATGAAGATCCAAGATACTTTGCATATCACTGTCTGTGATAGCCCTTTTCCCTCTCTGCTTGGCGATCCACCACTCACCATCTTCATCCATGTACTTTTCCAAAAGTTCCTCTAAGAGCGTGGCATTGGGAAGAACCATTGCAGAAACTGCTTGAGCTATGAATAGCAAGGCAGTTACTCTGAGCCATTCCTGTACTACATACTTCATGATGAATGATCACAAAATGCTCAGGAGTTAGCTCCAAGACAGTCTTTCTTCCAGGTCTGTTGGCTGTAAATGCATAAGAGAGAATAGTGTAATTTAGAGGCTGAAGCACTGGCCTGTATGAACTTATTAAGCAACAAAAAATGTAGTTTGTACAGAGTTTGCCACTGCTGTTTTAGGGGGAAAAACCAGGATGCTACTTTTTTTTCACTCTAATAAGTATACACTGTTGCTTTGTGAAGATAGCTTATCTTCAACCTTATGAAGTTCAGTTTGTTCAAGTAGTACACTGGCATGCACATTTCACTGCCTGCATGCAAGAAAGCATGCTTTTCATGTCTACTTAAAAGGAGTCAGACATCAGCAAAGATTAGACTGTAGATAAGGTCTTCCAGTATTGGAATTTAAGAACAAAAAAAGTGAAAAGGCTTGCATTCATTGCCAAAATGGGAACTGAAAAACACAATAAAATTGATATGAAATATCCCCTCTTGGTGTATTTCAAAACATGACTTTGATTAAAGCTTCTGTTTTACGATTCCCAAGAAGCCAATAAAATTAAGGTATTCAATTTGGACAAGAAAATGGGGGAAGATGGGGTTCTATTCACCAAACAAAGGAAAGCACAGATAACCCTTAGAAAAATAGTACCACTTCCAAGCATACAACATTCCAGCACCGCCTATTACGTGACTGAGCGCTGTAGGTAGCAAAGCCGTGGTCCCTCCCTCACCCTGGGTGAAAAAGC